TTCCCCGCGGGCCTCCTTCTCCTCCTTCTCCTTCGCTCTCTGGCTTCTCTCTCTGGCTTCTCTCCTCAGGAGGCTCCCTCAAAACATCCACCAATCAAAACGGCCCACGCTCGGGAAGACCCGCCTCTTTTCCCCTTCCTGGCCAATCCCAGAAGGCGGCCGGGGAGAAGCGTCAGGCCAATGGCGAAATTAGGAGAGAGACAACCAATAAGAAGGTCCCGCCTCTAAGCTTATAAGCCAATCGGAAGGGGAAGGGGGCGTGGCTCCCGCCGCTCTCGCGCAACCTCCCAAGGGCGAGAGAGGGACGCATGCGCGGTTCGACCAAATAAAATCTCTCCTGCGGGAAGGACAGCGTTTCCCTCCTCCCTGCTGGCGCATGCGCATTGCATGTTCCTGGTTGCCGTGGCGACGGGAAGCCAGTGCTTGCGGCCTAGTAGGCCCAGAGGCCTCCCTTCGTGGATTTGGGGAGCTAAGGGCAGGTTGGGGCCAACTTGGGCCCTTGAGGTGTTTTGGACTCCAGCTCCCATCATTTCTCACAGCCTCAGGCCCCTTCTTTTTCCCCCTCAGCCGCTTAAGCGGCTGAGGGGGAAAAAGAGGGGCCTGAGGCTGTGAGAATGTGGGAGTTGAAGTCCAAAACACCTCAAGGCCAAGTTGGCCCAGGCTTGCCCATGCCTCTCTCAATTCCCTGACAAACTTGCTTCTAAAGCGATTCCCCTCTCAACCCTGCTATAGGCCTGCATTTCGTTTTTCCTGCCAAAGTGGAGTATCTTACATTTGTCACTGTTGAACTTCATTTTGTTAGTTTTGGCCCATCTCTCTAATCTGTCAAGATCCCTTTGAATCCTGCTCCTGTCCTCTGGAGTATTGGCTATCCCTCCCAATTTGGTGTCGTCTGCAAATTGGGAGGGATAGCCAATACTCCAGAGGACAGGAGCAGGATTCAAAACGATCTTGACAGATTAGAGAGATGATTGGCCAAAACTAACAAAATGAAGTTCAACAGGGACAAATGCAAGATACTCCACTTTGGCAGGAAAAACGAAATGCAAAGATACAGAATGGGGGACGATGAGGCCTGGCTCGAGAGCAGTACGTGTGAAAAAGATCTTGGAGTCCTCGTGGACAAGTTAAACATGAGCCAATGTGATGTGGCGGCAAAAAAAGCCAATGGGATTTTGGCCTACATCAATAGGAGCCTAGTGTCTAGATCTAGGGAAGTAATGCTACCCCTCTATTCTGCTTTGGTTAGACCACATCTGGAATATTGTGTCCCATTCTGGGCACCACAATTCAAGAGAGATATTGACAAGCTGGAATGTGTCCAGAGGAGGGCGACTAAAATGATCAAGGGTCTGGAGAACAAGCCCTATGAGGAGCGGCTTAAGGAGCTGGGCATGTTTAGCCTGAAGAAGAGAAGGCTGAGAGGAGACATGATAGCCATGTATAAATATGTGAGAGGAAGCCACAGGGAGGAGGAGGGAGCAAGCTTGTTTTCTGCTTCCTTGGAGACTAGGACGCAAGGGAGGAACGGCTTCAAACGACAAGAGAGGAGATTCCATCTGAACATGAGGAAGAACTTCCTGACTGAGAGAGCTGTTCAGCAGTGGAACTCTCTGCCCCGGAGTGTGGTGGAGGCTCCTTCTTTGGAAGCTTTTAAACAGAGGCTGGATGGCCATCTGTCAGGGGTGATTTGAATGCAATATTCCTGCTTCTTGGCAGAATGGGGTTGGACTGGATGATGGCCAGTCTTCCAACTCTTTGATTCCATGATTCTATCAGCGATAAGTGTCCAATGTCATTCTCTGTGTAAAAGTATAAAAGTTCTGTAAAAGTTCTGATCTACCGTCTCACACTGGAAATTGCAATAACAGGAACCTATGCTTTAAAGTAATTGAATAACAGTTATTCATGACACCGACAGATGTGCCCTCTGAACCTCCGCCTATTATTATAATATTAGAAAACAGATGGAAATGCCAGGAACCTCCTTGCACGAGTCAGACTCTCTCTGCAGACGGACCAGTTCAAAGAATTTTAATATCCATTTGTTTACAATAAAATGTAAAATAAAAGCATATATGAAGTACATACAGTATATTTACATACTATATTTATTTCAAATACTTAAAACTCTTTTAAGTAAAATATTTTTTCTATATTACTTTGTGAAAAAATATGACTTTAAATGGTGTCAACCTGGCTTTTTCTATACATCTTCTCAATTTGGATTTTAAGTCTATCTCTCTCTTTTTTTTAAAGGCAACAACAACAGATGAAAGTTCGGCGCTCCCTAAAGTGTCTGGGCATGCTTGGAAAAAAGGAAAGAGCACCTGGTAAACCATACCAGCTTATCCCGTCATTTCCTCCTTCAAACGATCATCTTTATTGCAAGACCGGGTGCCTTCAGTTCCCCCGACGGGGGGAAAAAGAAAGGTTCACAACTGCACACACGCAAACACACTCACGCACAAGCACATATTCACTCTCACGCACGCAGACCCTCCTGCATCGGGCTCACAAGCCTTCTCGAGTCATTCTTTTTTTCCTGTAATACAGAGGTACTAAAATATATATATATTACTTAAAATATATTACTTATAAGCGCGTACGTTGATTTTTCATATTGCATGGGCAGGGAAGGGGGAAAGGGAAGGGGAAAAAAAGCCAACCCCCAACCCAATCCCAACCCCACTCTCTTCTCCTGGTTTTCCTAAATGGCTTTGAGTTCAGCCCCAACGAAAGGTGCAATTTCCAGTCGGAGGCTGGAAAGGAGTGGCCCCAAATATCAGCTGACCCAAAGGGCAAAGGAGCAACAGGACATTTCCTCCTCAATCGACTCTATTCCTGCCTCTCTTGAGGTTCACTGCAATGAAGACAATTGCAAGCAAAGCAATGAAACCAGAGAGAAGCAATTTGGGACAGACATGGGCCAAGCGATCAGGGGCTGTGCTGGACAGACATCATCCTAAGGGCTGCAGAGGAACCCAATGGTTTTGCAGCCAAATTGCAACCCCCCCCATCCCACCCCCACCTGGCACCCCTCATGGCTTCTATAAGCATGGAACCGGAGGGCTCCACGACCAAGGCTACGAGAACGGAGTGAAGGAAATACGGAAACACAAGACACATTTGGGAAGGGGGCTCTTTCCCAGCAAAGGGGCCCTCTCCCTGCATTTCTAAGGTGCTATACAACCCCCCCCCCCCCCCCGCCCTTGGCCTGGCTTCATTTTCCTCCTGATCCTTTGGAATTTCATGGTGATTTATGAGTGGCTCTAACTGCCTTTTGCCCCTTTCAAGTGGCACGGGAAGAGCAGAAAGGGATGGATATAAAGATATAAAGATCTACAAAAGGAGCTAGATGGTGCACACCCCACCCATAGTGCCTGCAGAGGGGCTCTCCCCTGACTGAAGCGCCCCAAGTTTTATTGGAAGCCAATCCCAGCTCAGCAATGGCTCTCTTCAACCATGCAAGTGACGATGCCTTTTCCTGAGACGTCTTGCAGAAGTCCATGTTCGGATAAGAAAAGTGCAGCACCGACCTTCCAATCCCTTGAGAGAGAACCCCCCCCCCCCTTCCTATATATTACTTAACATATATTTGGGTGAGTCTCAGTCTTTCCACCAGCCCCACTCTTCCTCACCTTGCTCTCCTTCCCCTAAATCAGTGGTGCTCAACCTAAGAGTCTCTCCCCAGATGTTTTGGCCTTCCAGAAATCCTAACAGCTGGTAAACTGGCTCAGATTCCTGGGAGTTGTCGGTTAAAACATCTGGAGAGACCCACAGGTTGAGAACCATTGCCCTAAATGCATAGCTCAACTTCCTTCCTGGCCTTTCCCTATGAAGACTCTCTTCCAAAGAGTGGTGGGCTTAATGTTTGCCCAGGTGTTTCCAGATGTCCCTGCCTGATAGAAATGGTCTTTTTGTTGTGCTTTGTGGCAGAAGAGAGGCAGGCGGGATGGCTTACGATATCATGACTATTTATTTATTTCTCTCCCACTTTTCTCCCAGAGCAGGACTGGCCGAGGGACCAGACGGATAGGCAACTACAAATGCCACAAATGCACCTCCCTGCCCAGTCCCTTTGGCTTCCAAGCCTTGGTTACAGATCCCTCCTTGACCAAAGCAGCTCCAGCCAAGCAGGTAGGACTCCTCTGGGGAAGAGCAAAGGCCAAGCCTCATCTTCTCACATGGAGGAGGCCCATCTACTTCACTGACGTTTTTCCACAAGAGAATAGCAGCCCTCCAGATCTGTGACTTTTGCAGATTTGATGTAAAAATGTTCTCTCTAGGGATCTCTAGGTCTTTCAATGCAACTTGATAGTGGACTACCACCCTGGAATCACTGGAGATTCACCTGTCTGGTGAACTCTGGCTCCTCCAGTCGTTTCTATGGCCACCCTCCAATGGAAGTTGACTGCAATCAGGATGGAAGACTGGAGAGCCCAAGAGAGGTGTTCCCTCAGGTTAAGAAACATAGCAGGTACTTTATTTGTGTTTTTTCCTCACTTTTGGGAGTTCCCGTGCCCCTGACCGCAGCAGATGTGGAGGGCTGGCTGAAAGGCAAAAGCTTTCACCTTGCCTTTCAGCCTTCGTCTCCTTCTTCGCCCAGACAGACTAGAAATGCCAGGAACCTCCTTCAGGAGGTCAAGCACAGCGGATGGGTGGGTTAGAGGGCTCTATCTGGCCCAAAGCAGGATGCCGGACCTCACAACCCACACAGACCCATCCTAGCCTTGCAGCTTTGCGCTTCCCAAGAGGGCTCCCGCTCCTTTTAGAAGGGGCAAGATGGGAAAAGGTGAATGCACACTGGGCAATGGGGCCACCAGGATTCCTGGGATCCTGGGATTGCTGAGGCTCATGCCCTGAGATGTTCTTGGCTGCATCCCACCAAAAACAGTGCAAAGCAGTAACCACACAACCCTCCCCTCTGGAGCAGTAGTTTTTTGAAGGTGGGCCAGAAACTCAGCCCAGAAGACCTGCTTAGGAGAAGAACAGAAGGAGGGTTTGGGGGCTTTGGCTATTTGCTGCCTCCTAACGGGTTCTTGCATCCTGAATAGTCTCCAAGAAGACTCTTTGAGGGGAAAATACATTGGCACTAGCTGCAAGTGACTGTGCAAGTTCTGCAAGTGTGCGTTTATGTGCCACAGGCCCAAGGGGACATGACATTGTCCCTCCCAGTCACAGCTGCAAAATGTTAAACCTTTGGCGACAATGCGTGGAAGATGTGGAGGCCAGCCAAGAGGCCCATCTTAGGGCAGAAGACACAGCTTGGTCAGCCAAATGTGTTCTCCGGACTAGTAGTGCACCTTGCTGACATGGCTTCCCAGCCAGACTTTCTGGGGTTTTTGATAAGGAGCATGTGGTGATGGAATCAGGTGGTAGGCAGATCCAGAGGCCCACCAAAGATTCAGGAGCAAGCTCTGCTTTCTTATGATGGAAGGAGGTCCATAAATGGAAGAAAGGGCCATAAGGAAGAACCAGTGGCCGGGGATTCGTCTCCTCAGCGTTGCTTTCTAAACGAGCTCATCAGGGAACCAAAGTAATTTCCCAGCTATGTTTGAGTCAGGCCTGAGACTGGAGCAGCCAAGTTGGCAGAAGATGGCAACCATCCAGAGTAATGAAAAGAAAGACAAGACGAAAGAGGGGAAACACCTCCAAGAACCGCAGCAGGAAAATCCCAGTTCCACTGAGAGACAAACCAGGAAAGAGATCTTGGGGTTCCTCCAAGGACACTATAGAGAAGGCCACTTCTATGCAAGGAAGGGGACAGAAAATGGCTGGCTGGATCCTAAGGCCTTTGCACAAACTTATGGTGTGGCCTCATGATGACCACTGTTTGTGGTTCTGGTTGCACCATCTAAACAAATATAGAAAAGATGAGGAAAAGACACAGGAAGAATTCCCCAAACAAATCGAGGATGCTTCCCACCCAGAAATGCTTGGGGATGTTCTGCTGAGGAAGAAAGGCCACAAAGAGAGGGCCCAAAGTGATGATGAAGGATGTGGAGAAAGCTGGAAGAGCAACATGTTTTCCTCTCTCGTAAGACTAAAGTGCCGCCCTGAGTTTTACACACACGCACCCCTGCGACAGTAGAAAAGCTCCATGCAGAGAGACCAGGCCTTTCCCTGCCTCCTTCCCTTTCCCTGCAACTCTCTTCTAGTTTTGGGTGCTTCCCAATCTAGTACATCCTGTACTTTATTGGGGTCATTTTCTAGATACAAGCAATATATCCATTTCAAAGCAAAACCGGCTTGTGAGTGGTCATTTAATATTGCTATATAGATCTTAACAGTCTTACACCTGGTCCGATTTCCCCCCCCCCCCCCTCTCATTGTCATGGGACTGTGTGCTCCTTGCAAGCACGGATCTCTCTGCCTCTGGCTATGCAACTCCCTAAGGCACAACAGAGACCAGGAAGACGCACAACCGCATTCACCAGGCCATTCAGGGCACACAAACAGAAGGCCCTCGCAGGGCAGCAGAAACAGTGAAAGGTTCTGGCGCAAAATGGCCAACTATCAGATAAGAGTGGACACGGTGGGGGAAAAGTAGGAAATAGGTTCAGGAAAGAAGAAGGAAATCGGGGAGGAGACAAGTGATGGATTCAGCCTGAAGCGCAAAACGTTTTTCATGTCTTGTCAAAGGCCTTCATGGCTGGAATCACTGGGTTGTTGCAGGTTTTTCGGGCTGTATGGCCATGTTCTAGAAGCATTCTCTCCTGGATGCTTGCCATAGATGCAGGCGAAATGTCAGGAGAAAATGCTTCTAGAACATGGCTATACAGCTCGAAAAACCTACAACAACCCAAAATGTTTTCCATTTGTGGTGTGCCCCTGAACGATACCAGCGGGGAGAGGGAGCCAGAGGGTGGTGGAAGCAGAGGAAGTGTCTGCCACCCAAAGAGACAACCCGGGGGGTTTTCCAGCCCTTCCGAGACCCTCTAAAGTGACTCTTTCCTGCGGGAAGGGAAATGGGGATCTAAAGGACATGGCTTCAGCTGCCTCTGAGGAAGCTTTCTCTATAAGCCTGTTCCTGGGAGTAAACCGGGACCCTGCAATCTCCCTTACCAATGGGTGCTGCCCACCTGGGCCTGACCCAGCTCTAGGCAGGTCTATGGGGAAGCCTCCAGGTGGGCGAACTAACCTGCTTGGTCTGAAGGACATAGGTATCTTATACCTACCTTCAAGGGAGTTGGACAGCAATGAGGAAGGCAGCCCAGCTGCCCACACTTGATGCTGCATCCCTCTGGGACACTACGCATTTCTATATAATGTGGCAGAAGGAAGGACCCAAGGGAGCCAGGACCAAGCATTCTAGCAACCCACAAAGCTCCCTAAAAACGAGTGCAAAGGTGCCTGGCTGGACCAGCATCCTCTCACTGACCATCAAGCATCCGATCTCGAGAGGTGGGGCAGGGGGACGTACAAACTTCTTTAAGACAGAACAACGCAACCTATTTACATGATTCCTTAAGTGCAAACGCTCATCTCGTCCATCCAAGGTGCTTCCATCGCTCCCAAGGCAGGAGGGGAGGAAGGGACCCCAAGACCCTCCCTCCACCCCCCCTTTTGTGCCCACTACCGCACCACCAGGCAAGAGACGCAAAGCCGGGAGGGTCCGATGCAGTCGTCGTGGCAGAAGGCCCCACAGCCCTGGCACACGATCATGGCTTTCAGGCGGCAGTAGCACTTGGAGGGCAGCTCCTCCAGGACCCCCTCGTCTGGGAAGACCTGGCCGCGGAGGGAGGGCTGCCGCCCGGGACTGGCTGGGCTGCTTACCGCCTGGCCAGCCGGGATGGTGGTCACGGTCACAGAGAAGGAGACCACCTCCCCCATGCGGCCGGGGTCCGAGAGGCCCGTCAGCAGCGCCTCCTGGGGCAGGTCCGGCGAAGCGGAGACGTTGATGGTGCCGCTGTAGCCTGACCCGACCAGCTGGGCGGCCGCGCCGGGAGACCCAAAAAGCCGAGCTGCTGGATGGGAGGGGGAGAGCAGCAGCGGTGGTCTGGGAGGCGTAGAGTCTGCCGGGAGTTTGGCTTCCCCTCTTGCCGCCTGGCCCCCGGCTTCCCGAATCAGCTCCTTTGCAGCAAAGTAATCCTGGGTGGCCGAGAAGGGAGGGTGGGCTCCCTCCTTGCGTCCCACCGCCCCGTGCTCCGCTTTCGTGGGTCCGGTTCGGAGGCACACTGGAACTCCTCCTGCTTTCGGCTCCCCTTTCGCCAAGGCGGCCCCCTTGTTTCCGTCTTCCCCGTCACTGCTGCCGCCACTGTCTCCAGCCACCCACTCCTCCGCTGCCTCCTCCTTCTGCTCCAATTCGGGGGTCCTATCCTGGCAGAGAAGGCCTTCCGGGGGAATGGCGAGGCGCCTCTTGATGTTTTCAGAGCAGCGTCCGTAGGTGGAGATGTTCAGGAGGTAATGGCCGGACATGGCGGGTTTCGACGCCCGCCTTCCGATGAACCCCGGTATTGAGCGATGGTTGGTGGTGGAGACGCTCTCGGGAGGGAAGTCTGGGGGGAGAAGTGGGAGGCGGGGAGGGAGAGAGGGCAGACCGGGCCCAAGAGGGGTCCTGTGCAAAAGTGGCTGGAGGACCTCTTCCCGCACTCGCTGTGCTGTGGCATCCTGCCCGGCGCAAGGGTTGGCGTGAGGACCCCAGACGTCTTGCCCCGGGAAGGAGGAAGCAGGGGCCGGTCGATGGGGCTGCCTGCCCGCCTGGCTGAAGGCGAGGGGGAGAGATTGTCCCGTGTTGACTTCCCTTGGCGGCAAGGTCCTGGCGGGAGCGGTGGTGGGGGCCTGCCCTTCCCTCGTGGGCATCGTCACCGCCTTGACGTCCGCTCTGAGGTGGGTCTTGGGGAGGATCTGCTCCATGGAGACCTCTTTGCCTTGCAGCAGCTGAGTGACCAGCGGGTTGTTGGCAGGAATGCTGGAGCTGGAGCGCAGGGAAGGAGGGCTGCCGCCCAAGGCTCCGGCGGGGACATTGAGGCTCCGGGAGGGAGGGGGCATCGCGGGCGTCGCCTGAGAAAGTGGAGGGTGAGGGGGTGCCTTGGAAGGTGCCGCCTGAGACAAGGATGGTCCAGGGGGGGCTCTGCTCCCACAAACGGCCCCTGCGCCTTCTGTCCTAGGGGTCATGGTGGGGCCCTGAGAAGGGGGCAAGGTTCTCTGGGGCCCTTCTGTGCGTTGAGAGGGAGCTGTGCTTGGGGCAGAGGGAGCGTGGGCGCTCTGGGTGGCGGTGACCATCACAAGTCTGGGGCCCGTGTGGCTGGCGCTCCCTTCTGCCGGCCGGGTGGTGGACGGGGCCTCTGTGCTGGCCGGTCTGGTCTGGCCTGGGGGCCTTTGCTGTAGTTGTGCTCCAGCAACACTCCCGAGGGACGCCGTCGTTGCTGGTTTTGTGGGCGAGGGACCGCTGCTGGTTGGCTCGAGTCTTCGTTGGCCCGAACCGCTTCCTGTGGGGCCAGCCAGGTCCAGTGCAGCTCCACAAGGCCCCCCTGGCCCTGGGCCACTGTGCCCCTCCACTCTCCCCCCGCCGGGCCCCGGGCCTGGGATGACCCCTGCGACGGACGCAGCAGTACCAGCACTGGCGGCGGCAGCAGCGGCGGCCTGGGCAGCGACGGCGGCTGCCCGCTGAGCCCTGGCCATCTGGGCCCGGGCCTTGATGTCGGCCAGCGTGCGGGCCCCTGTCCGGCGGGGGGTGGGGATGGTGATGGGCAAGTTGGGCTGGGGAGAGGGGCCCTGGCCAGAAAGAAAGGGCACAGAGACCCCCTGGAGCCTGGAGACGGGGATCTGAAAGAGAGAGGAGAAACATGTCAGCCAAAATAGAGAAGCAGAGACCTCCCCGTCCCTCTTGCAGCCACCGCTCTGTCCTCGGAGGAGAGGAATCATCTACTTGGAGCAGAAGAAGTCCTGGGGCCAAATGGTGCTGAGGGTGGTGGTAGCTCCCCTCCCAGGAAGGAGGGGCATCCTAATGAAGCATGAGTGCTGGCATTCCTGGGAGGAAGGACTGGAATACCATGGGCTCCCCTTTGTGAAGCCCACTAAAGGGTGGAGCTGCTGGGGACTGCTAATAGCCTCAGTGTTGTAGCTCAGCCAGCTGAGGATGAGGATGAGGGGTCTGGAGATGCTCAGACAGACGGGAATTTGGGTGATTCTTGTTGGAGCTGTTTTCAATATATAATGTAGATTTCAAAATATGTATGTTTAAAATGCAGTAGCTATGTGCCAAGTGTATTCCTGTGTAGAAAGAGTTAACTGAACCATGGAGGGAATGGCATTCCTAGAGAGGTCATAAATCAAGTGTATAAAGCAAATGGACTCAGCGTTGTGTCACTCTGGAATGCAAGAGGTGTGGACTAGTGCTGATAACAATGTCTGTGTGTTCCGATGTTACGATGGGATGGAGAGGAAGCAAGTTTTACGATGTGCTGAGTGTTAAGTAGCTTCTAATGTATATAGCTGTAAATAAAGTAGTTAATAGCCTAAGGTGGCTGTGATTGATCTGTTCCTGCCTTGCTGTGCAGCCAATGCCACTGACAATTCTCTGTGTGAAAACGAAACTGTTTTAGAAGCTGACAGGCAGGAAGGGAGGCTAGATAGAGAATCAAGGCTATTTCTGCAGGGGAAGAATTCCAGGTGCAAGCCAGGCCATGGGAAAGTGAGACCAAGAGGGACTACTCAAGGTCAAAAGAATGCTTTCATGCTTTGCTGTCCTTTACTAGGAAAAGAATAGCTTTTGGTTTTCAGATTAAGCAACATAGAATATAGAGTAAGGAACTCTTGCATTTGTTCTCACTTCAAGCCATGTCCTAGTCAAGTTTTGCTTTAAGTCTTGGGGATTTTACCATAAACTCAAACTCATGTATTGTTCTTTGATTCTTGTATTACTCAAATTGATGTTTTATTCCTTGTCTTTTGGATTATTCAAACTCATGATTTTACCCTGCTCCTTGGATTTATGTTCATGCTTTAACTTTTGCATTGGACACTTATCTCTGGTTTTTGCGACTCCTTTTCTCCTACTTATTTGGATTTTTTACTCTCTTACTTAAGTGGCTGAGGGAGAAAAGAAAGGGCCCTGAGACAGTTGGGAATGGTGGGAGTTGAAGTCCAAAACACCTGGAGGGCCCAAGTTTGTCTATGCCTGCCTTAAGAGAATGAACTACTTTCTGTTTCTATTCTAAAGCACAACTGACTCAAGTGCCTTTTTCTTTCATCTGGACGAGTTCAGGGCCACGCAGAGTAAGCAAGGGCTGTTGTATCCTTAACAGGATAAGGGCTCACTATCTTCTGCCCTCTGCAAATCAAACTACATGGGTGTGCTACTAACCGTGGTTGGACAATACTTCCCCAGGAAAATCTGGGGATCAGCATGTGCTCACACTGCGCATCTCACCACTGGGCTCTCCTGCCAGTCCCAGCAAGCCACTGAGCTTCTGCGAGGGATATTCTCTCAGCAGGTAGAGGCGCTGCAAGGCAGGCTCATCCTGGGTCTGGGGGTGGGAATGGGTCTGGCCAAGGGCCCCAGAGAGGCAGAGGCTGACTTACCCTGAGCGGAGGGACCTTTGGCACAGGCGCGGTGGGAAAGTGCTGCGGGGGGGCCTGAAAAGGCGGGCGGGTGGGGGCCTCTTTCTCTTCCACGTGGGGACGCTTCTCCGGGGCCAGCGGCGCCTCCTCCGTCCCCTCCGGCTTCCTCTTCAGGGGGCGGGTGCTGGTGTCCATTTGCTCCGTGCTGGTGGTGGGGGTCTCTGCGGCAGGCGCCGTCTGGACCTCCTCTCTGGGACTGGGCTGAGGAGCAGGGTGGGCCACCGTGGTGGAAGCCACAGTAGCAACAGCAGCGGTGGTGGCAGCGACAGCAGGGGAGAGGTTCTTTGGCTTGCTTGCATCCTCTTTCCCAGGTGGTGGCTTCTCCTCCTGCTTCTCCCCCACGGCAGGCTCCTCGGCCCCCCTGGACGGTCTGCTGAGCCGAGAGGGGACCCTGCTCCCAACAGGCTCTGCCGGTATTCCAGGGGAGGCTGGACGCTGCTCCGGCTTCTCCTCCTCCTTCTTGACGTCTTGACTGGCCACAGCTGGAGGTGGTGGTGGTGGAGGGGCCAGGAGGGCCGGAGGGGCATGCTCTTCCTTGACCACTGCAGCCAGCGCTGGAGGACTTTTCTGCACCTGAGCCTCTGGGCTGCCAAGATGGGCCTGGCTCTGCTCCGCAGAAGGGGAGGAAGTCAGTCGCTGGGACTCTTCGGGGCTCATCCCTGAGCTGGAAAGAGAAACAGGAAGAGGAATGCATAGCGTTCCCTCACTTATCACGGGTGTTACAACAGCTTTGTAAACAAACATCTTGGTGGGTTGTTATAGGTTTTTTCGGGCTATATGGCCATGTTCTAGAAGTATTCTCTCCTGACATTTCACCTGCAACTATGGCAGGCATCCTCAGAGATTGGGAGGTCATATAGGCCGAACCTCTGAGGAGGCCTGCCATAGATGCAGGTGAAATGTCAGGAGAGAATGTTTCTAGAACATTTCCATGCCCTAAACTACTCCGGCCCAATTTACCTGTCCGAACGGATTCTCCCCTATGAACCATCAAGGTTATTAAGATCTTCTGGAGGGGCCCTGCTCTCAATCCCACCTCTTTCGCAATCGCAATTGGTGGGAACGAGGGACAGGGCCTTCTCGGTGGTGGCTCCTTGGCTCTGGAACTCCCTCCCAATGGAGATTAGATCTGCCCCTTCCCTCCTGACTTTTAGAAAGCTGGTAAAAACATGGCTTTGGAATACTGCATTCGCAGAATGATGATTGAGTCAATAACTGCTGACCACACGGGCGGATGGCGATGAATTTATGATTTATTCTGATGAACTGACCTTTTGTAAGTTGTATAATTGTATTTTAATGTATTTTTGTACTATTGTATTATGATGTTTACTGTGGTTTATCTTATTGTATTTTAACCCTCTGCTGTTAGCCGGCCTGAGTCCCTCTTCGGAGGTCGAGAAGACCAGGTTATAAAAGCTCGAAATAAATAAATAAATAAATAATTCTCTTGATGTTTCACCTGCATCTATGGCAGGCATCCTCAGAGGTTGTGAGGTCACAATCACTGAGGATGCCTGCCATAGATGCAGGCGAAACGTCAGGAGAGAATGCTTCTAGAACATGGCCATACAGCCCGAAAACCCTACAACAACCCATAGCTCCAACAGACAAGAGTCCTTTGTCCCACCCTGGTCATTCCACAGATATATAAACCCCTTTTCCTAGTTCCAACAGACCTCACTACTTCTGAAGATGCTTGCCATAGATGCAGGTGAAACGTCAGGAGAGAATGCCTCTAGAACATGGCCATATAGCCCAGAAAAACCTACAACAACCCACCAAGATGTTTGTTTACAACCCCGATGCAGTCCTTCCCGCCTAGAACAAAGCTTTCTCAAACTCTCTTGCTAACTCTCCTAGTGTGTTGGGTTGCTCAGTGCAAACAGGTTCCTTTCCTACTCCAGGGCAAGGAAGGGAAGTTCAGTTGTCGTGTCAGGAGCAACCACTCCTGTTGTGAGAGAATTGGCCGTATGCAAAGGACGTTGCCCAGGGGACGCCTGGATGATTTTTGATGTTTTATCATCCTTGTGGGAGGCTTCTATCATGTCCCCGCATGAGGAGCTGGAGCTAATAGAGGGAGCTCATCCGCCTCTCCCCGGATTCGAACCTGCGACCTGTCGGTCTTCAGTCCTGCCGGCACAGGGGTTTAACCCAGGGAAGGGAAGGGAAAAGTGCTGTAATTATGTAATATGCACACCCAGCAATGTCACCCCAAGAGCAATAAACGATGGGAAAGGAGTAGCAAGAGTGCAGGGCCCCAGGGATAAGGGCAGGTGACTCTCTGTGAGCCCCAGAGCTGCTAAGGGAGATGGGAGAGGCAAGAGGCATTCTGGGAAGGGGGGCGCATGGGGTCCAAAGGCCTCCTCACCTCTGGCCGTAGTAGCGCTCAAAGAAACGCTCCTTCCACAGCTCCACTTTCTTCTCCTTCTCCAGCTCCTGCCGGAGCCTCAGCTGCATCTCTGGAGTGAATTCCCCTGCAAGACAAAGAGAGAGAGAGAGAGAGAGAGAGACCCACATTGGTGCAAAATCCAGAAGGGAATGAGACAAGGCTGCCTGCCTTCCCTGATATTCTTTATCCTCATAACAGAAATTCTGGTGAGGAATATTCGACAAAAAGAAGACCGTAAAAGACGAAGCAAAAGTTGTAAGACAAAGGCGTTCGCAGACGATTTGATGACAGTCCTGAAACAGTATGGAACCACTTTTGAAAACACTACAAGGCTATGGAGAAGTGGCAAGGATAAAAAAAAGGTGAAGATAAAATCTTAAACCACAATGTCGTATGTTCCATAGTTGATGGTGGTGGTAGACCTGACAGTTGGTGATGGAAGGGTTAATGTAAGTTTTGGTTCTAAAGGGCTGAGTAGTTTGTAAGTAACAGTTTATGGGTGAAAGCAATTAAGGGTGGAGGTATGACAGAGATGGGTTGCAACTGGGTGTTTCTGGATATAAGGAACTAGCCTTGGGACTGATCTCTGGGAGAAAAGTATCTGTTGCATTTTGGTGGTGGATGCTGCTGGTTTTCCCCCCAGGTCTGTTGGATTTTTCGGTGTCCTGACCTGTCTCCTGTAATCTTGGAATCCTGGAACCTTGAACCTTTGGACTGGCTTTTGACTACAGTATAGACTCTTGATCCCTGGACTTTGTTTATTGAACTCTTGGCATTTGACCATTGGACTGGACCCTTTTGACTACGAAGTTATTTTTGCTATTTGTTTTTGTTTATTCTGTAGCTGCGTGCTATCTTTGTGTTTTATATTTTAGATTATATAAACAACCAGCAAGTAAGTGCTGTTTTAATTAAACTGTTTGATAAAACCGGGAGTTTGATTAATCTCTACCCAAATAAGGTAGAGCCTTGGCAACGTGACAAACAATGACAGAGTAAAAAAGTAAAACTGAAAGTAATAACAGGGTTTACAATAGAGAAGAAAATAAAATACCTGGGTATTACAGTTTCAGAGAAAAATTAATTTTAGTCAATAATAACTATAGTAAAATTTGGGGAGTAATTAAACAGAACCTAATAATGATATTAAATAATAAACTCTATTTATACCCTGCCACCATCTCCTAAAGGGGACTCTGGGCGGCTTAAATTAAATTAAATTAAGTGGTGTTTTCCTGGGCTCTCCAGAGCAGACAACATTGTCTTAAAATCAAGTTAATGTTCTGCTCTCAAGTTTGACTTTGTTCCTGAGTGAGTTTTGTCTTTGAAAAAAATATGTTTTCATGCCTATGGATTCATGTTCCTGTTCCATGCTCATGGATTGCATGTACCTTGCTGTCTTGATCAATTGATATTTGTATTTTTGGACTATTGCTATTTCGTAGCACCTTTTCTGGAGCCCCCGGTGACACAATGGGTTAAACCCCTGTGCCGGCAGGACTGAAGACCGACAGGTCGCATGTTCAAATCCAGGGAGAGGCGGATGAGCTCCCTCTATCAGCTCTAACTCCTCATGCAGGGACATGAGAGAAGCCTCCCACAAGGATGATAAAAACATCAAATAATCCGGGCAATGTCCCCTGGGCAACGTCCTTGCAGACGGCCAATTCTCTCACACCAGAAGCGACTTGCAGTTTCTCAAGTTGCTCCTGACACGACAAAAAAAATAGAATAAAAAAATTACAGTTTCAGACAAAAATTAATTTTTAGTCAAGAATAACTATAGTAAAATTTGGGGAGTAATTAAACAGAACCTACAAAGATGGAAGAAATGACAACAATCCTGACTTGGACATATTGCATGTGAGGCAGACATTCACACACACACAACAGTGGAAAAGAAGAGAGAGTTGAGCAGAGGAGACCAGGGCCTTTGTGTTACGCCACAGATGCGTTACATTTGAAGCCCCTCCAGGAAAAAGAGTGGCTCCCCCCTCTGGATGCCTTTTGCTTCTTGGGACAATGAGGCTCTTTGGCTTCTCCTAATGGTAGTGGTCTGCAGGTGGGCCACTCCACCTCGCTATCTCCCCACCAAGCCCCTGCCACAGCTTCCAACCCCCCAAATCCCGGGGCCCTGACCCCATATCCCAGACTGGCCTCACCTTCCGAGAGCCGTTCCTTCCAGCCTTGGGCCGCAGAGGTGAAGAATTCGTTGTTCAGGGCAGAGCTGCTGAGCTTCGTCAAGCCGTCCATCCCCACCTGAGAGGAGGAAGGTGGCCCCAAGGAGGAGGAAGAAGGAGAAGAAGAGCGGAGTGAGATGCAAGGATGAAGGAGGTGGAGGGTGGGAGAAGGTGTGGTGCTTCCTTGGGCTTGCGGGCAAACACCTTTGCCGCCAGTGGTATGGGGAGAACACTGTCCTAGCCCCCCCCCCCCCCGAGTCCCTCAAGGGGGCTTCCGCCCACACTCTGCCCTTGAACGGAGGGGGCTGCTCCTTCTTGAGTGCTGGTGCCTTTGGGAAGCTGAAGGGCACAGACCCACTAGTGCACATGGGGGCAGTTGGAATCTACAATTTTTCAGCTCCCATACGCACTTGCAGGTCTTTCCAAAGCCACATCCACTGCACACAGTGGCCTCAAGGAGCAAGGTTTTCAGCAGGCATCTATGGGAGAGCCAAGTGCAAAGCTGGCTGCGGCAACTACTGTACAGTGGCAAAACTACGGATGGGCATAGTATGGCCTGTGTGGTGCATGTGACCCCCACATCCCACTTTGGTCCCCGAGGGAACACGAGAGAAGCCTCCCACAAAGATGATAAAAACATTAAATCATCAGGGTGTCCCCTTGGCAACGTCCTTGCAGACGGCCACTTCTCTCACACCAGAAGCGACTTGCAGTTTCTTAAGTCGCTCCTGACGCGACAAAAAAAAAATCCCACTTTTGTGCCCCATCCCACCCTAAACCCCAACCCCCATTTTATTAAATAGTGAAATTTTCAGGCACTTATTTTCTCCCGAGAGGTCGTGAGTTTGAAGCCAGCCCAGGTTGGAGTGAGCTCCCGACCATTAGTAGTCTAGCTTGCTGTTTATTTATTTATTTATTTACAGTATTTATATTCCGTCCTTCTCACCCCGCAGGGGACTCAGGGTGGATTACAATGTACACATATATGGCAAACATTCAATGCCAATTTGACATACAACGTATACAGACACACACAGGCTATTTAACTTTTTTCTGGCCGCCAGGAGAGCTGTCGCTTTCATCGTCCATCTGCGACACTGATGAAGTACTTCCGCATTCCACGCATGCTTTTGCTGAAGTCTTTATGGCCTCATAAATTAGTTAATTTAGCCTCCCCACACATAGGTGGTACCTAATTTTCCTACTTGACAGATGCAACTGTCTTTCGGGTTGCAAAGGTTGACAACAGGCTACGCAATTGGTTGGAAGCCCACTCCAACCCAGGCTGGCTTCGAACTCATGACCTTTTGGTCAGAGTGATCTTAATGCAGCTGACACTCAGCCAGCTGCCCCACAATCCCGGTGCCACAATCCCTGTTGACCTATACAGCCTGAAAGACAGTTGCATCTGTCAAGTAGGAAATTTGGTACTGTTTTATGCGGGGGAGGCTAATTTAACTAATTTAAGATGCCAGCAGTGTGCAGAAGAATGACGGACTCCATCCAAGGACTCGGTGTCACAAGTGGACGGTGAAATGGCAGCACCCCTGTGGCCGGAATCGAGCCTCATGAAGCCGGAAAAGCTGGAATGTTAAATGCCTCTATGTCTCTCTCTATATATGTTGTATGTCCAATGGCACCAAGATACCTGACCGCATCTCAGCCTATGAACCCACCCGGACTTTGAGATCTTCTGGGGAGGCCCTGCTCTCGATCCCGCCAGCCTCTCAAGCACGGTTGGCGGGGACGAGAGATAGGGCCTTCTCGGTGGTGGCTCCTCGGCTGTGGAACGCCCTTCCTGTAGACGTTAGGCTGGCACCATCTCTCATGACATTCCGTAGAAAGTTGAAGACCTGGATGTTTGTGCAGGCGTTTGAGTAATTCAGTGCAATTCTGGTAATTTGAACATAGGAACGGAACAATGGACGACGAATTTGGATCACGCTTGGATGATGAGGCGATCGGGGATGGGATTTGTGATAACTGTGTATTGATGATTGCTTATTAGTTATTAATGGAAATGTGTAATTTAACTGCTATTGTATATTAATTATTGCTGTTTTTATTGTCTTTGCTGTTTGGAAACCGCTGTGAGTCGCCCTCGGGCTTGAGATACAGCGGTATACAAGAATAGTAAATAAATAAATAATAATCAATAAATGTTTGCCATGTATATGTGCATTGTAATCCACCATGAGTCCCGCGTGGGGTGAGAAGGACGGAATATAAATACTGTAAATAAATAAACAAACAATAATAAAATACACAGGTGGCTACTCAAATGCCACAATAGCCGCACTGCAGCCAGAACCCTATGCCATACCCAGGGACATCTTTCCTTTGCACTTCCTTTCAAAATGGCAATATCCTCCCCTGTTGCCCTTTTCAGCCGGACTGCAGGGGAAAATGCAGGGATTGGGTCTTGCTGTGATGGTTGTGTTGCCTGTTGCGAGGGGCAGGTGGGGGGGGGGGAGTCTAGGCAGGATTGGTCCCCACACAGTTACCCACCCCAATCTAAACCTTTAGTTCCTTTCTTCTGCAGGAAGGTGGGTTCTGGAAATGCAGAGCAGACCAGCCTAGTGAGGTTGAGGAAGCCCCCCAAAGAATGCCAGTCCTGCTCCTCCAAAGCCATGGGTGGGAGCGGTGGGGCGGTGGGGCGGTGGGAAGTCTATGCCTTCTGCTCGGCCCCCTTCCAGCCCCCTTTGGCCACCTCCAGGAGACCCACCTGCCTGTCCACCTCCGGGAGCAGCAGGAGCAACCGTTGTTGGCAGTCGGCCGGCAGGAGGGAGAAGGTGTGCTTGTTGATCAAGGCCCGCAGGTTGGTGTTCACCAGGATGGACTCCGGGGTCTCCACGTCGATCTCGGCACACTTTGTCCTCTTCAGCTGCCCTGCACGGAGGGGACACGCGGGGTCACAGCTGCCTTCAGGCCAAGCGAGTGAGAGAGCCCTTCCTACATTCCCAGATGAGCCAAAATACACTTACGGGAAGGCATCTGCGTTAGGAGCATTGCAGCGCACCCAAATACCTGGGAGTCACTCTGGACCGTGCTCTGACCTACAAGAAGCACTGCCTGTACGTCAAGCGAAAAGTGGGTGCCAGAAACAATATCATATGAAAGCTGACTGGCACAACCTGGGGATCACAACCACATACAGTGAAGACATCTGCCCTTGCGCTGTGCTGCTCTGCTGCTGAGTACACATGCCCGGTGTGCAACATATCTCACCACACTAAAACAGTGGATGTGGCTCTTAATGAGACATGCTGCATTATCACGGGGTGTCTGCGCCCTACACCACTGGAGAAATTACACTGCTCAGCCGATATGGCACCACCTGACATCCGCCGGGAAGTAGCAGCCAATAGTGAAAGGACCAAGGCAGAGACATCTCCAGCTCATCCCTTGTTTGGGTATCAGCCAGCACGTCAATGCCTTAAATCAAGAAATAGTTTTCTAAGATCTACAGAGACACTCGCTGGAACACCTCAGCAAGCGAGAGTCCAAAAGTGGCAGGCTCAAACTCAGAACCTCAATCCATGGCTGATACCAAATGAGAGACTCCCCCCTGACCACACAGAAGACGGGGTGACTTGGAAGGCGCTGAACAGACTGCGCTCTGGCACCACGAGATGCAGCGCCAACCTCAAGAAATAGGGCCACAAAGTGGAATCCACGACATGCGAGTGTGGAGAAGAGCAAACCACTGACCACCTGCTGCAATGCCACCTGAGCCCAGCCACATGCACAAGGGAGGACCTCCTTGCAGCAACACCGGAAGCACTCCAAGTGGCCAGATACTGGTCCAAGGACATTTAATCAACTACCAAACTTGCAAACTCTGTGTTTTGTCTGTTTGTTTGTTTTGTTCTGTTAGAAATGTAATATAATTGTCTGGTTGCCCCTGACATGATAAATAAATCTGTGTTAGGTCTAGCCCAGGAATGGGAAAACGTAAGCTTTCCAAGTGTTTGTACTTCAACTATCTACAATTCCTAACAGCTGGAAGGAACGGGCTGTGGTGCAGCTAGTTAGTATCCAGCTGCATTAAATCACTACTGACCGGAAGGTTGTGAGTTTGAAGCCAGCTCAGGTCAGAGTAAGGTCCCGACTATTAATAGTCTAGCTTGCTGTTGACCTAGGCAGCCTGAAAGACAGTTGTATCTGTCAAGTAGGTACCGCTTTATTTGGGGAGGCAAATTTAACTAATTTTACGAAGCCATAAAACCTCCCAGCAGCGTGCAGAAGAATGAGGAAGTACTCCCTCAAAGGACTTCTTGTCACAAGTGGACAGTGAAGCAACAGCTCCCCCGGTGGCCAGAATCGAGCCAAAATCGAGCATAACCTCATGAAGCTGGAAAGCTGGAAAGTTATATTGCCTCTGTGTGTGTCTATTAGGCATGTGCTCTCCACTGTTCTAAATCAGTGGTTCTCAACCTGGGGTCCCCAGATGTTTTTGGCCTACAACTCCCAGAAATCCCAGCCAGTTTACCAGCTGTTAGGATTTCTGGGAGTTGAAGGCCAAAAACATCTGGGGACCCCAGGTTGAGAACCACTATTCTAAATGGTTCTAAAGCACTTTCAAAACTAAAATTCTGGTGGTGAAAACTAGGGGGCACTGGTGCTTTGCTTCTCTACCTGTGTGTGTGGGTTTTCTGTAAAAGGTGTGACCCAACTGTTGACCTGGTTTATGGATGACTAGGACATCTAGAAACAAACAAGGACATCTAATCACCTCTGAACAAAAGATTGCTCCAGGCACTGCTAGGCTATCCAATGCTAATCAAGGTGGTTAGTTGAAACATTCACACCTAGCTCCAGCAGATACGACACCACGGCAAAGTCCTTTGTCCCACCCTGGTCATTCCACAGATATATAAACCCAATTTTCCAAGTTCCAACAGACCTCACTACCTCTGAGGAAGCTTGCCATAGATGCAGGCGAAACGTCAGGAGAGAATGCCTCTAGAACATGGCCACATAGCCCGAAAAAACCTACAACAACCCTACATGTATTATGTTTGAGAGCAATTGCTCCTTTTCATTTTACTCTATGTGAATACATTGAATTACACTGAAGTATATATTGAATATCATATGCTTTATGCTCCCTGAATATTTTTCCTGACATAGATTATTTTGTGTATTTTGATTGGACTCGATGGCCCAGGAGGTCTCTTCCAACTTTAGGATTCAATGAGGGGGAATGTTTGTGTCAGGTTGTAATGTAATATAGCTGAGTCATGCACTGCTAATGGGCTTCTATTGGAAATGCTGAGTCATGCATTAACTGTATATAGGACATCATTTGGGGAATGTGTTCTGGCCTAGTCCAGGTGATTGTGAATGATGTAATCCTCGGTCTAAGTTAAGTTAATGAGTTGGGAACCAATCAGAGATTGCTATCGGTAATTGTATAGAATTGTATATAAGGAAGTCATGTACAGTGTATACTCTCTCCTTGTGCTGTGATGCTGTTTGTCGAAGGCTCTATGTAATTGGTTAAAAGAACCTGACTGCAAAGACAAGATATAACCGTGTGCTGTGGTAAGTTTGTAGTGTCATCTAGATTGGAGGGGAAAACAATAGTAAAACTGACAATGGCCGGGCATGTGCTCAAGTGCCTGTAAAAGAGTTCCAGAGTGACTGCAGTTTGTGGGAGCAGTTGACTGAAAATACTGTGCAGGAAGAAGCTACAGGAAAGCGCTGAAGTTGTGCAACTGATCTGCTGCTGAATTGTGAAATTAATCTCAACAGTTTGCCTTACTTGCATGGAGCCTGTCGGATCTCTGGAAAGGCTTCTTGCCCAGGATGGGGAGGGCGGGCTCGGCTTTGACCGAAGGGGAGGAGCTGGACGTAGAATTGGGGGGGCTGCTTGAATGCCCGTCCGACTGCTTCCCTTCCCAGGCTGCAAAAGAGAACAACATGCCAAAAGAAGGGCCATCAAGACCCCAGCTTGGGAGGGAGGAATTGGGGCTGCCGGCTACGCAAAGTGGTCTCGAGAAGGAGCAAGGCTTTCGGCAGGGAAAGAAAGGGTAACCGGAAGAACAGAAGGGGATAAACTGGCAATGAGGAACAAGGAAACAACAAAAACAAAAGCTATACCCAAGACTGGGAACCATTTCTAGATCTATATAAATAAGAATGAAATGTTCGTTTGCGGGATTAACATAACCCAAAAACCACTGGAAGAACTGACACCAAATTTGAGTGTCATCATACGCAAGTCCTGGAACAAATCCATGTGTGTTGTCCCTGAAAAATCTCGCAAATCTCTTGGGAAGACAGGCAGACAAATGTCAGCATGCTGGAAGAAGCAAAGACCACCAGCATTGAAGCGATGGTCCTCTGCCATCAACTCCACTGGACCAGCCACTTGTCCGGATGCCTGACCACTGTCTCCCAAAGCAGTTGCTCTGCTCTGAACTCAAGAATGGAAAACGGAATGTTGGTGGATAGAAAGCTAACCTTAACAGCTGTGGCATAGACACCAAGAATTGAGAAGCCCTGGTCCCTGAGCGCTCTAACTGGAGGTCAGTTGCGACCAGCAGTGCTGCGGAATTCGAAGAGGCACGAATGGAGGGTGAAAGGGAGTGATGTGCCAAGAGGAAGAAGGCAGGTCAAGCCAACCCTGACCGTGACCACCTTCCGTCTGGAAACCGATGTCCTCACTTTGGGAGAACATGTAGGTCAAGGATGGGGCTCCACAGTCACCTACAGACCCACCACCAAGACACTCCACTTGGAGGACCATCATACTTGGACAATGAGGGCTTGCCTAAGTAAGTATTCTGCTCTGTGAGGGAATGTGGTGATTGACTGGGCACCATCTTGACCATCCTGGCGAAATCGAGAAGAGCTCTGGACAGGGCTGCTGGACAAAGGTGCGTTTGCTTTGTTTTGTAGGGAAGGTTGCTGCCTCTACCTGTGGATCTCCTACCGGGTTTTGCCGGGACGGAGGCATGGCTGACCGCCTTGGGGTGCGGCTGGAGGAGGAGGAGATGGCCGGAGGGGACGGGGGCGCTGGCCCGGCACTGCTGCTGCTTCCGCTGCTTCTGCTTCAGCGCCTGCACGGAGGAGGAGGAGGAAGAGGAAGAAGAAGAAGGGCGTGAGGGGACAGCACAAGGAGGGGCGTTCTTTGGCATCGACTGGCGCTGGAAAGGCTACTACAAAACATTTGATGTGGAGCTGACCCTGAACGTGGCTAGGACTCCATCCGGATCAGGCATGGGCAAACTTCAGCCCTACCTCCAGGTGTTTTGGATTTCAACTCTCACAATTCCCAACAGCCAGTAGGCTGTTAGGAATTGTGGGAGCTGAAGTCCAAAACACCTGGAGGGCCAAGGTTTTGGGAAAGTGACCAAATTAAACAAGAAATAACATTTTCAAACCAGGAACAGATTTTTTTTTTAATTCTTAAAAATGCTGGTTTTGTTGTTTGTCTCACCGAGACCTTTAGACTGTGAGGCAGGAGCTTCTCAATATTATCGATAATATCATACGAAAGCTGACTGGCACAACCTGGGGATCACAACCAGACACAGTGAAGACATCCGCCCTTGCGCTATGCTACTCTGCTGCTGAGTATGCATGCCCAGTGTGGAACATCTCACCATACTAAAACAGTAGATGTGGCTCTTAATGAGACATGCCGCATTATCACAGGGTGCCTGCGCCCTACACCACGGGAGAAATTACACTGCTTAGCCGGTATTGCACCACCTGACATCCGCCGGGAAGTAGCAGCCAATAGTGAAAGGACCAAGGCAGAGACATCTCCAGCTCATCCCCTCTTTGGGTATCAGCCAACACGTCAACGAATTAAATCAAGACATAGTTTTCTTAGATGTACAGAGACACTTGCTGGAACACCTCAGCAAGCGAGAGTCCAAAAGTGGCAGGCCCAAACCCAGCACCTCAATCCATGGGTGATACCAGATGAAAGACTCCCCCCTGGGCACACAGAAGACTGTTTGGGTATCAGCCAGCACGTCAACAACTTAAATCAAGAAATAGTTTTCTATTTATTTATTTATTTACTTTATTTGTATACCGCTGTTCTCAGCCCTTAGGCGACTTACAGCGGTTAACAAAAAGAACAGCAAAAATTCAATGTTACCATAACACAGTATTAAAAACAGTTAACATCATAACATATTATAGAAAAGTATACAATTAACAACAATATACAATTAACACCAATAGCCATTCGCTAGCGTCTCATCACTAAAAACATGATCCAGATCCGTCATCCATTGTTCCATTCCTATGTTCATTACATTCATTGCACTGACTATTGGAACGCCTGCTCAAACAACCAGGTTTTCACTTTTTTGCGGAATACCATTAATGATGGAGCTAGCCTAATGTCCGTGGGAAGGGCGTTCCACAGCCGCGGGGCCACCACCGAGAAGGCCCTATCTCTCGTCCCCGCCAGCTGTGCCTGGGAGGCAGGCGGGATCGAGAGCAGAGCCTCCCCGGAAGATCTCAAAGTCCTAGTGGGTTCATAGGCCCACTAAGATCTACAGAGACACTCGCTGGAACACCCCAGCAAGCAAGAGTTCAAAAGTGGCAGGCTCAAACCCAGAACCTCAATCAATAACTGATACCAGATGAGAGACTCCCCCCTGGGCACACAGAAGACTTGGAAGATGCTGAACAGACTGCGCTCGGGCACCATGAGATGCAGAGCCAACCTCAAGAAATGGGGCCATAAAGTTGAATCCACAACATGTGAGTGTGGAGAAGAGCAAACCACTGACCACTTGCTGCAATGCACCCTGAGCCCTGCCACATGCACAATGGAGGACTTCCTTGCGGCAACACCAGAGGCACTCCAAGGGGCCAGATACTGGTCAAAGGACATTTAATAGAATACCAAGCTTGCCAACTTTGTGTTTTGTTTGTTTGTTTGTTTACAATGCAATACAACTGGTCTGGTTCGCTCCTGACACAATAAATAAATTCTCCATATGTCAACCTACCATCAAAGGAGGTGAAGATCAGCTGAAGGTGGCTCCCCACCTGCCCCCCCCCCCCCCTTACCTGCTTCAGTGCCTTTTTGCTGTGCTTCTGGGAGGAAGAGATGGCTTTGCTGGAAGGGGACGGGGCGCCCAGCTGCGGGGAGGAGACCTGCGAGAGCCGCGTGGAGACTGGAGGGAGGAAGAGCAGAAGGTGAGCAGAGATGGGAAAGGGACGTAGATCTAATGCTGGGAAACCAGACTCCCACATGCCCCACATTCATGCACCCTGGGAAAAGGGCCTCTCCTCTCAGGAGACCTATGTACCTGGGAGAACCTTCCTATGGAAACAACCAAAGCAACCCTGCCCAGCCTCGGACTACCTACTTCAGGGCCATGCACTAAATGGTATTTCGTTGTTGTTGTTGTTGTTGTTGTCATTATTAGACTATGTAACATGATATTGGTTCCTGGGTTATAAATGTCATTTCCTAATTGGTTCTATCATAGAATCCTAGAGTTGGAAGAGACCTCATGGGCCATCCAGTCCAACTCCATTCTGCCAAGAAGCAGGGAAATTTTATTCAAAGCACCCCCGACAGATGGCCATCCAGCAGTCACCAGCCAATTTATTATTTATTATTTACTTTGCTTATATACCGCTGTTCTCAGCCTGAAGGCGACTCACAGCGGTTTACACCCAATAAAAATAATTCAATGTACATATAACAATTGATCCCTTAACACAGGGGTCCTCAAACTTGATCACTTAACACAGGGGACCTCAAACTAAGGCCCGGGGGCCGGATGCGGCCCTCCAAGGTCATTTACCTGGCCCTCACTCAGGGCCAACCTAAGTCTGTAACGACTTGAAAGCACACAAAAACAACAACAACAATCCCATCTCATCAGCCAAAAGCAGGGCCTCACTTCCCATAGAAATACTAATAAATTTATATTTGTTAAAACTGTTCTTCATTTTAATTATTGTATTGTTTTTATGTGGTTTTGCACTACAAATAAGATATGTACAGTGTGCATAGGAATTCATATTTTTTTCACATTATAATCCGGCCCTCCAACAGTTTGAGGGACTGTGACCCGGCCCTCTGTTTAAAAAGTTTGAGGACTCCTGACTTAACACATTATCCACTTAATAAACAACAAGCAATTACACTAAACAATTATTACAATAACCAACCCAATCGTCTCATCATCAAAGTGTAATCCAGGTTCGTCGTCCATTGTTCCATTCCTATGTTCAATTACCAATATTGCACTAGGTTACTCGAATGCCTGCACGAACATCCAGGTCTTCAACTTTTTTCGGAATGCCATGAGAGATGGTGCCAGCCTAATGTCCGTAGGAAGGGCGTTCCACAGCCGAAGGGCCACCACCGGGAAGGCCCTCTCCAATGCCAGAAATACAGCTTAATGGTGTAGCATTAGAAAATGTGGACCATTTCCTCTCCCTTGGCAGCCACCTCTCCACCAAAGTCAACATTGACACCGAAATACAAGACCGCCTGAGCTCTGCAAGTGCAGGATTTTTCCGAATGAAGCAGAGAGTGTTTGAGGACCGGGACATCCGTAGGGAGACCAAGGTACTTGTCTATAAAGCTATTGTCCTTCCAACCCTGCTGCATGCCTGCGAAACGTGGACTGTCTACAGATGTCAACATTGACAGCGAAATACAAGACCGCCTGAGCTCAGCAAGTGCAGCATTTTTCCGAATGAAGCAGAGAGTGTTTGAGGACCGGGACATCTGTAGGGAGACCAAGGTGCTTGTCTATAAAGCTACTGTCCTTCCAACCCGCTGTATGCCTGCGAAACATGGACTGTCTACAGACGTCAACATTGACACCGAAATACAACACGCCTGAGCTCTGCGAGTGCAGCATTTTCCCAAATGAAGCAAGAGAGTGTTTGAGGACCAGGGCATCCATAGGGGTACCAAGGTGCTTGTCTATAAAGCTATTGTCCTCCCAACTCTGCTCTATGCCTGTGAGACGTGGACTGTCTACAGACGTCACATGCAACTCCTGGAACAAGTCCATCAGCGCTGCCTCCAGAAAATCCTACAAATCTCTTGGGAAGACAAGTGGGGAAATGTCACTGCTTGGCCGGTATTGCACCACCTGACATCCGCCGGGAAGTAGCAGCCAACAGTGAAAGGACCAAGGCAGAGACATCTCCAGCTCATCCCTTGTTTGGGTATCAGCCAGCATGTCAACGACTTAAATCAAGAAATAGTAGCATACCAGCGGCCAGTGGAGCTGACGTAACAGGGGACAGTATGCTCTCTGTACGCATTCAAGCATCTCCTCAGACAGATTGATGGCTTTCCCCAAAACTTTGACCCTTCAGGTGTTTTGGACTTGAACTACTAGCTGATAGGAGTGTGGGAGTTGAAGTCCAAAACACCTGGGGGGCTAAAGTTGGCCCATGCCGGACTAGACACTGTGCTCTTATTGTTTGAGCCTAGCATTGCATTGACGTTGGCAGCTGCCTCACTCATTTGCCTCCTTCCTCCTCCTCTAATCCAGTAGAAACTGGGGAAACAAGCTCAGAGCCCCCTTGCCTTACCTCTCCATGGGGCCGTGGGGAGATGCTTCCCAGGCATGGCTGCCCCACAACAGAGAGCCTGCGCTTTCTTCCTCCTTCCTGGAATTAGGGGCTGCCGGAAGTGTCGGCACTCACAAGGGGCCTTTGGAGGGCCCCCTGCCCACTCTCCACGGGCCCCTAAACAGCAGGGCCCACAAGCCCTCTTTTGAAAAGCAGCCGCCCCACTGCTGTCAAGAGAAGCTTCATTTTTGCACATATAAGGAAGTGGTTTGTCGATATGATCCGGATGGGGCTTCCTGTTTTGTATGTATATGAATAGCAATAATGCACTGCATTGAGCCTCACTGCAAAAAAGACATCTAAGGCCAACCTGCCTCCCCATCCAAGCACACAATTCAGAACCTGACCCTTTCCTCCTCACCTGCAGACCCCCCCCCCTACACACACACACCTTCTCCTGCAAAATAATATGGTTCATCCATATATATATATATATATATAGACACACACACATATATATGTGTGTGTGTCTATATAGTAAAGGTTTCCCCCTGACATTAAGTCCAGTCATGTCCGACTCCAGGGTAAGTGCTCACCTCCATTTCTAAACCGAAGAGACCTCCAAAGTCATGTGGCCAGCATGACTGCATGGCGTGCCATTACATTCCCACAGAAATGGTAGCTATTGATCTAATCATATTTGCATGTTTTTGAACTGCTAGGTTGGCAGAAGCTGGGGCTAACAGCAGGAGCTCACTCTGCTCCCCAGATTTGAACCTGCAACCTTTCAGTCAGCAAGTTCAGCAGCTCAGTGGTTTAACTGGGCGCTCCATATAAATATACATATACATGTGTTGCTGTGACCCAGTCTGTGTATAGGTGTTTTGTGTGTGTATGTATGTGTATATGTGTCATTATGCGCATGCATTGTAATGTATTCTTTATTTTTTTGGCTTTTTAAGTCTCTTTTGCTGTATTTTTCAGTGTTTTTATGAGTGATGGTCACTTATTGGCCTGATGGGTGTATTGTGTTCAAATCTGGTGTCAATTTGTCCAGTAGTTTTTGAGTTATGTTAATCCCCACAAACGGGGATATATATATATATATGTGTGTGTGTGTGTGTGTGTGTGTGTGTATATGTATATGTATATGTATATATATGTGTGTGTGTGTATATATATATATATCTGTCTCCTGCCACGCGTTGCTGTGGCCCACTCTGTCTACATGTGTTTTGTGTGTGTATATATTTGTGTATATGTGTGTTTGCGTATATATGTCTGTGTGTGTGGGGGGGGGGGGGTTGCGCATGCGTTGTAATGCATTCTTTGTTTTTTTGGCTTTTAAAGTCCCTTCCACTTTGTTTTTCCATGTCTTTATGAGTGATGGTCACTCGTTGGCTTGATAGGGGACTTGTGTCCAAATTTGGTGTCAATTCGTCCAGTGGTTTTTGAGTTATGTTAATCCCACAAATAGAGAGATAGATAGATAGATATTCATTATTATTTCATTATTGATGATTTTTATGACAGAACCAATTAGGAACTGCCATTTATAACGAAATTTTGAAAGTTTTGTTAGCGTTCTGAAATTTTCACCACCAGAACTTTAGCAACACTGTAGAAGGAAAGCACCAGCGCCTCCTAGCTTTCACCACCAGGACTTTAGTTTTGTAAGTACTTTAGAACCTTGTATTGTCGAAGGCTTTCATGGCTGGAATCACTAAGTTCTTGTGGGTTTTTTCCTGACGTTTCGCCTGCATCTATGGCAAGCATCCTCAGAGGTGAAATGACCAGGGTGAGACAAAGGACTTTTGTCAGTTGAGCTAGGTGTGAATATTTCAACTGACCATCTTGATTAGCAATGAAAATGAACAAGATCTGGCTTTTGTTGTTCATTCATTCAGTCGTCTCCGACTCTTCGTGACCTCATGGACCAGCCCATGCCAGAGCTCCCTGTCGGCCGTCACCACCCCCAGCTCCTTCAAGATCTGGCTACCAGTATTAAAAAATTCTAAAATTGCAACAGCAAAAACAGCAGAGAGGAAACAGGCAGGGACATCTAATTACCTTTCAAGAAGAGTTTGCTCCAGGCACTGTCAGCCCATTGTATGCTAATCAAGGTGGTCAGTTGAAACATTCACACCTAGCCCAACTTACAAAAGCCCTTTGTCTCACCCTGGTCATTCCACAGATATATAAACCCTTTTCCCAGTTACCCAGTTTCCCAGTTACCAAACAGACCTCACCTCTGAGGGTGCTTGCCATAGATGCAGGCAAAACTTCAGGAGAAATGCCTCTAGAACATGGCCCTATAGCCCGAAAGAACCCACAAGAACTTACTTTAGAACCATTTAGAACCATGGATTGCCCATGCCTAGTAGATGGCACACTAACTCCCAGTTACGGATGTCCTCCCTGTTGTGGTTCAGCAGCAACAGCATGATGGGACTGAGAGTGCAGATGAGTATGATGAGAATGGGAATACAGATGCAGGTGTGGGATTTCAGATTTCTCAGTTTTCTCAGCCACAGTCTGTAGCTAGAGAGAAACCATTGTTATCACAGGAACGGAATGTGGCTGATAAAACAGCTGGTGAAGGTCAGACTGTGCCGCAGGTGTTAAGAAGGAGTTTACGAACTGCGGCCAAGTCTTGAGTGGGAAAACTGCTTGTTAGCTGTCTGTTTAATGTTCAATGTTTTGATGTTTTACCTATAAGTAAACTGCCTGGGAGCTGATTCGGCGTCAGTTTCAACGTTGCAAAATGGCTCGCTTTGTCTCTTGCTCTGGGGCTTGGGCCTTGGGGAAGAAAGCCTGCTTCATGTAACCTCATGCTATTTCCTGGATTATATGCTGCTTCTTGCTTCAAGTTTCCTGCTTTGACTCAAAGGGAATCTATTGGATTTTTACCTTGTACTATGGACTTTGTACTGCTTATATTCTGATTTGTTTGAAACTTCACAATAAACTTCTTTCTTCATAAGTTTGGCTGGTTTGTCAGAGAAAGCAAGGTGAATTTTAGCCTGAGATACAACACTCCCTGGCAAGTGACCCGAGAGAAATGGAACCCACCTTAGACGCATGTTAACTACTCGGGGTCTCTTTGGGGAGGCCTACCTTTCCGGCGCCACCTGCTCTTCCGCCCGTCCTTGGGGCTGCTCCTCTCGCTGCTGCTGCTGCTGCTGCTACTGCTGCTCTGCCCGCTGTTGCTCCTCTCGCTGCTGCTGTTTTCCGACACAGGCGAGTCCAAATGCGCGTCGCTGCTCTCCTCGGACCCCTCCGATAGCTCTTTCAGCCCATCCAGGACATCCTTCTGCAGGCAGAGACAAGCAGACAGACAGGTGAGATGCAAGGGGCCCATGGTCCTCACCAGAGAACGGCCACTGTCATGTCCAGCAGTTGATGGTGGTTGGTACACAAAAGGCTTGGCAGGATCATGACTAGTAGGGTGGTGATGCTGCAGAAGGTATGGGAGAGGTCAATCTTCCTGGACGGAACCCTGTGGCATTCTACTCGTCACTTCTTCCTCTTCATCCTGGAAGGAAGTGACGAGTGGAGTGCCGCAGTCCTGGTCAGGATCTTCATTCATGACTTAGATGAAGGGCAAGAAGGCATGATCATCAAATTGGGAGGGAGAGCCAATACTCCAGAGGACAGGAGCAGGATTCAAAGGGATCTTGACAGATTAGAGCAGTGGTTCTCAACCTGGGGTCCCCAGATGTTTTTGGCCTTCAACAGCTGGCAAACTGGCTGGGATTTCTGGAAGTTGTAGGCCAAAACACCTGGGGACCCACAGGTTGAGAACCACTGGATTAGAGAGATGAAGGGCCAAAACTAACACAATGAAGTTTAACAGGGACAAATGCAAGATACTCTGCTTTGGCAGGAAAAACGAAATGCAAAGATACAAAATGGGGGACAATGCCTGGCTTGAGAGCAGTACGTGTGAAAAACATCTTGGAGTCCTTGTGGGGAGGAAGGGGAACATGAGCCAGGAATGTGATGTGGCGGCAAAAAAAGCCAGTGGGATTTTGGCCTGCATCAAGAGGAGCATAGTGTCTAGATCTAGGGAAGTCATGCTCCCCATGCTCTATTCCGCTTTGGTTAGACCACACCTGGAATATTGTGTCCAATTCTGGGCACCACAATTCAAGAGAGATGTTGACAAGCTGGAATGTGTCCAGACGAGAGCGACTAAAATGATCAAAGGTCTGGAGATTCATGATTCAAGTTTTGGAGTTTTACCATGGAAGTTTCTGTATTTGTTTTTCATGAACTCTGATGGACTAATTTCCTGGACTATTTGCTCCTGTTTATCTTCCTACCTAATTGGGTTTACCTATTTTTATGGAGTGCTTTTTACTGCTTCTGCTTTTAAAACATTTTCAATAAACTGCTTGCATTTTTTATTATTATTATTATTATTATTATTAAACTTTATTTGTACCCCGCTAGCATCTCCCGAGGGACTCGATGCGGCTTACAAAGGCCAAGGCCTTAACACAACAGCAGTAAAACACAAAACAATACAAAACAAAGCAAATTAAAAACATAAGCAATAGCAAGACATTACACTATTACACTATTAATTTTTTTCTGGCTACGGCCCTGCTTCCAACTCTTTGATTCTATGATTCTATGAAAGAATCATAGAATCATAGCAGGCGCGTTTGGTGGGGACGAGGGACAGGGCCTTTTCTGTGGTTGCCCCCCGACTTTGGAACGACCTCCCCAAAGACATTAGACTAGCACCCACGTTGGCAGTCTTTAGGAAGAATAAAAACCATGGCCGGGCCAGTGATGGGTACAGGTTAAAAAAGTGCTGGGTGTGACAGGAGGTATATTGAGATTCTGGGCAAGTGCCATGTGCAGAGAGTCTTAAACTCTAGTAAAGTGCTTCTGGGACAAAGTGCTGGGTCATCCTATTCTGGAAAGGCACGTCGGAATAGCCAGGTCTTCAGAACAGAGCATGGGGAGCATGACTTCCCTAGATCTAGACACTAGGCTCCTATTGATGCAGGACAAAATCCCATTGGCTTTTTTTGCTGCCACATCACATTCCTGGCTCATGTTTAACTTCCTGTCCACGAGGACTCCAAGATCTTTTTCACACGTACTGCTCTCGAGCCAGGCCTCATCGTCTCCCATTCTATATCTTTGCATTTCGTTTTTTCTGCCAAAGTGGAATCTCTCGCATTGGTCACTGTCACCTCCTCGGTTCCTAGCCTGAATTGGGAAGCAAAAAGGACTCGACTCTAAGGGCCACTGTGCATCAACACCCTCCCCACCACTCTTCGCAGTGCTCTGTGGGTTGAAAGAGAAGCCCAGGCTGCCCAGAGCCATTCCCGATGAGGCCAAGCGGAAACTTACCTTCAGGGTGTAGACGCCCATCCTGCCGGGGACCTTGTAGAAAATGCCCTCGTCCCCTCGGGAGTTGGTGTGCAGCATCGCATTCAGGCAGGCGAGGGGAGAGGTCCCGCTAAGAGGAGAAAGAAAGGGTGAGAGGAGGGGAAAGGCCAGGCTCGGCCAAGAACGAGTCCCCTACGCTGAGATATCCCAGGATGGAAGCGGAAACACCCCCTCTCCCTGCTAAAGTCTCTTTTGCTACAAGCCAACTTCTGTGTGAATCAGGTCAGCTACACTAAGAAAGAGGGGCAGATTCAGCATGGGGCAGCTCCAGAGGCAAGAGAAGATCTGTATTGTCAAAGGCTTTCATGGCCGGAATCACTGGGTTGTTGTAGGTTTTTTTCGGGCTATATGGCCATGGTCTAGAGCAGTGGTTCTCAACCTGGGGGACGGGACCCCCAAGGGTCCCGTCTAAAATGATCAAGGGTCTGGAGAACAAGCCCTATGAGGAGCGGCTTAGGGAACTGGGCATGTTTAGCCTGAAGAAGAGAAGGCTGAGAGGAGATATGATAGCCATGTATAAATATGTGAGAGGAAGCCACAGGGAGGAGGGAGCAAGCTTGTTTTCTGCTTCCTTGGAGACTAGGACGCGGAACAATGGCTTCAAACTACAAGAGAGGAGATTCCATCTGAACATTAGGAAGAACTTCCTGACTGTGAGAGCCGTTCAGCAGTGGAACTCTCTGCCCCGGAGTGTGGTGGAGGCTCCTTCTTTGGAAGCTTTTAAGCAGAGGCTGGATGGCCATCTGTCAGGGGTGATTTGAATGCAATATTCCTGCTTCTTGGCAGAATGGGGCTGGACTGGATGGCCCATGAGGTCTCTTCCAACTCTAGGATTCTATGATTCTATGATTCTATGAGAGGATGTCAGAGGGGTCGCCAAAGACCATAAGAAAACACAGTATTTTCTGATGGTCATGGGGAGTCTGTGTGGGAGGTTTGAGCCAATTATATCGTTGGTGGTGTTCAGAATGTTCTTTGATTGTAATGAACTATAAATCCCAGCAACTACAACCCCCAAATGTCAAGGTCTATTTTCCCCCAGACTCCACCAGTGTTCACATTTGGGAATATTGAGTATTATTATTATTATTGGAAACACAACAAGATGAGTCCACAGCAGACACTCTTCTGGCTGTTGTATTGGATCACACGTCGGACACTTCCCAAGTGTCTAGGATTCTGTGATGTATCGGCGAATAATGCGTGCAGATCCCAGTAAGGTGGACTTTTGCAACTCACAGGTGAGGATTTGGTTAGCACCGATTGTGTTTAAGTGCAGGCCAAGGTCTTGAGGCACTGCACCCAGTGTGCCGATCACCACTGGGACTCCCTTGACTGGCTTGTGCCAGAGTCTTTGCAGTTCGATCTTTAAATCAGTGTTTCTCAACCTGGGTGTCGGGACCCCTGAGGGGGTCGCGAAGGGGTGTCAGAGGGGGCGCCAAAGACCATCAGAAAACACAGTATATTCTGATGGTCATGGGGATTCCATGTGGGAAGTTTGAGCCAATTCTATCGTTGGTGGAGTTCGGAATGTTCTTTGATTGTAATGAACTATAAATCCTAGCAACTACAACCCCCAAATGTCAAGGTCTATTTTCCCCAGGCTCCACCAGTGTTCACATTTGGGAATATTGAGTATTCGTGCCAAGTTTGGTCCAGATCCACCATTGCGTGAGTCCAGAGTGCTCTCTGGATATAGGTGAACTACAACTCCCAAACTCAAGGTCAATACCCATCAAACCCTTCCAGTGTTTTCCATTGGTCATGGGAGTCAAGTTTGGTTCAAATCCATCGCTAGTGGAGTTCAGAATGCTCTTTGATTAGAAGTGAACTATAAATCCCAGCAACTACATCTCCCAAATTACAAAATCAGTCCTCCCCCAACCCCACTACCATTCACATTTGGGTGTATTGGGTATTTGTGCCCAGTTTGGTCCAGTGAATGAAAATGCATCCTGCATATCAGATATTTACAGTATGATTTATAACAGTAGTAAAATGACTGTTATGAAGTAGCAACGAAAACAATACTATGGTTGGGGGTCGCCACAACATGAGGGACTGTATTCAGGGGTCACGGCATTAGGAAGGTTGAGAACCACTGGTCTAGAGGCATTCTCTCCTGACGTTTCGCCTGCATCTATGGCAAGCATCCTCAGAGGTAGTGAGGTCTGTTGGAACTAGGAAAAGGAGTTTATATATCTGTGGAATGACCAGGGTGGGACAAAGGACTCTTGTCTGCTGGAGCTAGGTGGAAATGTTTCCACTGACCCCCTTGATTAGCATATAATGGCCTGGCAGTGGCTGGAGAAATCTTTTGTTGAGAGGTGATTAGATGTCCTTGTTTATTTCCTCTCTGTTGTTGTGCTGTTGTAATTTTAAGAGTTTTGTAATACTGGTAGCCAGATTTTGTTCATTTTCATGGTTTCCTCTTTTCTGTTGCAATTGTCTACATGCTTCTTGTGGATTTCAATGGCTTCTCTGTGTAGCCTGACATGGTGGTTGTGAGAGTGGTCCAGCATGTCTGTGTTCTCAAATAATAATGTGCTGTGTCCAGGTGGGTTCAACCAGAGAAATCAGCCATAGCAGAGCACCTGATGAACCAACCTGGACACAGCATATTATTGGACTGTCTAATCCCTGACATTTTCAAAAAGGAGCGGCACTGCTTTGTTATTGTATCCCCCCCAATTATCATGCACACAGTCTTGAGGGTGCCTTGCACTGCCTACATGAATTCAATGTGAACACCTCCATCCAGACAGATTTGCAAGGAAAGGGAATGTGAGGCAACCATGAGGCCTACAGCAGGCCTAGAAAGAACTGTAAGTGAAATAAACAGCTGTGATGTTCATCCACCATTACATTGAAGTCCGTTTAGATGTCAACATCAACAACGGTAGTGTAATTTCTCCAGTGGTGTTTTTTGCACTGCTTAGCCGGTATTGCACCACCTGACATCTGCCGGGAAGTAGCAGCCAATAGTGAAAGGACCAAGGCAGTGACATCTCCAGCTCAGCCCCTGTTTGGGTATCAGCCAGCACGTCAAACCCTTAAATCAAGAAATAGTTTTCTAAGATCTACAGAGACACTTGCTGGAACACCTCAGCAAGCGAGAGTCCAAAAGTGGCAGGCTCAAACCCAGAACTTCAACGAATGGCTGATACTCAATGAGAGACTCCCCCCTGGGCACACAGAGGACTGGGCAACTTGGAAGGCGCTGAACAGACTGCGCTCTGGCACCACGAGATGCAGAGCCAACCTTCAGAAATGGGGCTACAAGGTGGAATCCTCGACATGCGAGTGTGGAGAAGAGCAAACCACTGACCACCTGCTGCAATGCAACCTGAGCCCTGCCACATGCACGATGGAGGACCTTCTTGCAGCAACACCAGAGGCACTCCAAGGGGCCAGATACTGGTCAAAGGACATTTAATCAACTACCAAACTCACACATTTTGTATTTTCTCTGTTTGTTTGCTTTGTTCTGTTAGAAATGTAATATAACTTGACTGGTTGTGCTGACACGACAAATAAATAAAATCAACAATGGTTCTTACCTTCTGGGGTTGATTGAAATCCAAAGGAAGAACAGGCAACAATGGAAGAAGCAGAAGGGGGGTGGGGAGAGAGAGAGAGAGAGAGAGAGAGAAAAGCCTTTTAAGTATTCAGCAAGGCAAAACAACAACAACAACAACAACAACAACAGCAATAATCTCGATTGATACACCGCTACCATCTCCCCAAGGGACTCGGTGTGGCTTACATGAGGCCGAGCCCACACTACATCAGTGAACAAAGGCAATAACAAAAACAATCAATACAAAACAGTAAATCAGAATTGGCCCATGACTGCCCAATAGATTTGCCTCCTCTTTTTCTCCCCACTCCCCTCCACTCATGACTGAAAACCCTCGGCGTTGGACACACGGCAGCAGCCCCCCCCCCCCCCCCCCCCCCCCCCCCAACTGGCACTCACTTGATCTCTTTCAGGCCTTCTTTCTGGATGACATGGAGGATCTCTTTGTGGCTCATGGGTGTGTTGGGATTTTTCTCCAGGACCTGGTAAGGAAGAAGCACAAGCGGAGAGGAGCGTTTCAGCAAAGGTGCTCTCAACATAACTCCAGCTGCTGGACCCCAGACCGCCAACTTCCGCCTGGCTGACCAGTGACCCAATCTCTGCAAAGTGCATTATCAAACATTTGAACTTTTTTTTTATGTCAGGACTTGAGAAACTGCAAGTCTCTTCTGGTATGAGGGAATTGACCGTCTGCAAAGACGTTGCCCAGAGGATGGCCAGATGTTTGCTATTTTACCATCCTTGTGGGAGGCTTCTCTCATGTTCCCGCATGGGGAGCTAGAGCTGACAGAGGGAGCTCAACCCGCTCTCCCCGGATTTGAACCGTCAGTCAGCAGTCCTGGCGGCTCAAGTGTATTTCTTGATCTCCATTCCTTGAGATCAAGAAATATTAACACATTTCTTCCTGATGAAGAAACAATCTACAGATCCACCAAGAAAATCCAGCAAGTGCTCTGTTTAGCAAGAGGAACCCTCAATATTAAGACCATCAGAAGAACGGCCTGCCTCCGGGGAGCGTGCTTGCCCCAACCATGTTCAACATCTACACAAATGACCAGCCACTGCCAGAACGGACAGAGAGTTTCATCTATGCTGATGATCGTGCCATCACCGCTCAAGCAGGGAGCTTTGAGATGGTGGAACAGAAGCTCTCCGAAGCTCTAGGTGCTCTTACTGCCTATTACAGGGAAAACCAGCTGGTCCCCAACCCATCTAATACACAGACATGTGCCTTTCACCTTAAGAACAGACAGCTCTGAGGATCACCTGGGAAGGAATCCCATTGGAGCCTTGCAGCGCACCCAAATCCCTGGGAGTCACTCTGGACCGTGCTCTGACCTACAAGAAGCACTGCCTGAACATCAAGCAAAAAGTGGGCGCTAGAAACAATATCATACGAAAGATGACTGGCACAACCTGGGGATCACAACCAGACACAGTGAAGACATCTGCCCTTGCGCTATGCTACTCTGCTGCTGAGTCCGCATGCCCAGTGTGGAACACATCTCACCACACTAAAACAGTGGATGTGGCTCTTAATGAGACATGCCGCATTATCACAGGGTGTCTGCGCCCTACACCACTGGAGAAATGACACTGTCTAGTCGGCATTGCACCACCTGACATCCACTGGGAAGTGGCAGCCAATAGTGAAAGGACTAAGGCAGAGACATCTCCAGCTCATCCCCTGTTTGGGTATCAGCCAGCACGTCAACGACTTAAATCAAGAAATAGTTTTCTTAGATCTACAGAGACACTCGCTGGAACACCTCAGCAAGCGAGAGTCCAAAAGTGGCAGGCTCAAACCCAGAACCTCAACCAATGGCTGATACCAAATGAGAGACTTCCCCCTGGGCACACAGAGGACTGGGCGACTTGGAAGGCGCTGAACAGACTGCCCTCTGGCACCACGAGATACAAAGCCAATCTTAAGAAATGGGGCCACAAAGTGGAATCCATGACATGTGAGTGTGGAGAAGAGCAAACCACTGACCACCTGCTGCAATGCACCCTGAGCCCTGCCACATGCACCAGGGAGGACCTTCTTGCGGCAACACCAGAGGCACTCCAAGGGGTCAGATACTGGTCAAAGGACATTTAATCCACTACCAAGTTTGCAAAATTTGTGTTTTTTTATCTGTTTGTTTTGTTCTGTTAGAAATGTAATACAATGGTATGGTTGCTGATGACACGATAAATAAATAAAATAAACAATTCTTCCTTGGGTCAAAAGTAATGGTGTTGTTGCCACAGGGCCAGATAGAATTCCTGAATACATTGCTTGACTCCCAAGTAATGTCATCACTCCTAGACAGTTCGGAAAACACCCAGGCTGATTTGCAAGGAAAGCGGAAAACAGACCCACCATGGCTGCTGCTCTCCTCCCTCTATCACGCTGTTTTTCAAGTGTGCCCCTGGAACTTGCAAAACAAATGTGGAAGAAGCAGGGAACACAGGACGGTGTTTGTACTTTGAATGTTATTTATTTATTTATTTATTTATTTCCCGCCTTTCTCACCCTGAAGGGGACTCAGGGCGGCTTACATAATTGGCATTATTCCATGCCCAAACAATAACAATTAAAAGAAATTAAACAACAATCTAAAACAACATTAAAACAACTTATGTAAACATTAGATTTATTTATTTATCGTGTCATAGAATCATAGAATCAAAGAGTTGGAAGAGACCTCCTGGGCCATCCTCCAGTCCAACCCCATTCTGCCAAGAAGCAGGAATAATGCATTCAAATCACCCCTGACAGATGGCCATCCAGCCTCTGCTTAAAAGCCTCCAAAGAAGGAGCCTCCACCACACTCCGGGGCAGAGAGTTCCACTGCTGAACGGCTCTCACAGTCAGGAAGTTCTTCCTCATGTTCAGGTGGAATCTCCTCTCTTGTAATTTGAAGCCATTGTTCCATTGCGTCCTAGTCTCCAGGGAAGCAGAAAACAAGCTTGCTCCCTCCTCCCTGTGGCTTCCTCTCACATATTTATACATGGCTATCATATCTCCTCTCAGCCTTCTCTTCTTCAGGCTAAATATGCCCAGCTCCTTAAGCGCTCCTCATAGGGCTTGTTCTCCAGACCCTTGATCATTTTAGTCGCCCTCCTCTGGACACATTCCAGCTTGTCAATATCTCTCTTGAATTGTGGTGCCCAGAATTGGACACAATATTCCAGGTAAAGTGGTCTAACCAAAGTGGAATAGAGCATGGGGAGCAGGACTTCCCTGGATCTAGACACTAGGCTCCTCTTGATGCAGGCCAAAATCCCATTGGCAGTTTTTTGCCGCCACATCACATTATTGGCTCATGTTCTCCTTCCTCCCCATGAGGACTCCAAGATCTTTTTCACACGTACTGCTCTCGAGCCAGGCCTCCCCCATTCTGTATCTTTGCATTTCGTTTTTCCTGCCTAAGTGGAGTATCTTGCATTTGTCCCTGTTGAACTTCATTTTGTTAGTTTTGGCCCTTCATCTCTCTAATCTGTCAAGATTGTTTTGAGTCCTGCTCCTGTCCTCTGGAGTGTTGTCTCTCCCTCCCAATTTGGTGTCGCCTGCAAACTTGATGATCCTGCCTTCTAGTCCTTCATCTAACTAATGAATGAAGATCCTGAGCAGGACCGGGCCAAGGACGGAACCCTGCGGATGTCACTCCACTCGTCACTTCTTTCCAGGATGAAGAGGAAGCCTTGGGGAGAATCACCCTCGGGGTTCGTCCATTTAACCAATTCCAGATCCACCTCACCGTAGTTTTGCCTCGCCCACATTGGACTAGTTTCCTTGCCAGAAGGTCACGGGGGACCTTGTTGAAGGCCTTACTCTCATGTCATGGATTCCACTTTGTGGCCCCATTCCTTAAGGTTGGCTCTGCATCTCGTGGTGCCAGAGCAAAGTCTGTTCAGCGCCTTCCAAGTTGCCCAATTTTCTGTGTGCCCAGCGGGGAGTCTCTCATTGGGTATCAGCCATGGCTAACTCTGCTCCTGAACTACTGAGAAATACTCCCAAAAATATCTATTCTTATTCTCTTCCAGTGCTCTCATCTAGAGACGACAACCATTGAACAGAATGTCAAACTCATTTGCTTTCCTGCTGGCACTAAAAGCTTCTGATCTGCTGAACTGCTGCTGATGCTGTCATTGCTGCTTTACCATTTCTGATTGGTTCCTTTTTGGAAATTATCTTCCTATCTATCTATCTATCTATCTATCTATCTATCTATCTATCTATCTATCCATCCTTCCTGAAATCCTTGAAGGTTCCCTCCTAAAAAGCCAAAGCACAGACTTTGCTCCACATCTGCAGTTTTGACTTAAGCGGATGTGACTATTCATGGAAGCGACCGCAAGCGTGTTACAACATAGAATCATAGAATCAAAGAGTTGGAAGAGACCTCATGGGCCATCCAGTCCAACCCCCTGCCAAGAAGCAGGAATATTGCATTCAAATCACCCCTGACAGATGGCCATCCAGCCTCTGTTTAAAAGCTTCCAAAGAAGGAGCCTCCACCACACTCCAGGGCAGAGAGTTCCACTGCTGAACGGTTCTCACAGTCAGGAAGTTCTTCCTCATGTTCAGATGGAATCTCCTCTCTTGTAGTTTGAAGCCATTGTTCCAGCGTCCTAGTCTCCAGGAAGCAGAAAACAAGCTTGCTCCCTCCTCCCTGTGGCTTCCTCTCACATATTTATATATGGCTATCATATCTCCTCTCAGCCTTCTCTTCTTCAGGCTAAACATGCCCAGCTCCTTAAGCCGCTCCTCATAGGGCTTGTTCTCCAGACCCTTGATCATTTTAGTCGCCCTCCTCTGGACACATTCCAGCTTGTCAATATCTCTCTTGAATTTTGGTGCCCAGAATTGGACACAATATTCCAGGTGTGGTCTAACCAAGGCAGAATAGAGCATGGGGAGCATTACTTCCTTAGATCTAGACACTATGCTCCTATTGATGCAGGCCAAAATCCCATTGGCTTTTTTTGCCGCCACATCACATTCCTGGCTCATGTTTAACTTGTTGTCCACGAGGACTCCAAGATCTTTTTCACACGTCCTGCTCTCGAGCCAGGCATTGTCCCCCATTCTGTATCTTTGCATTTCGTTTTTCCTGCCAAAGTGGAGTATCTTGCATTTGTCTCTGGAGCCAGAAGGGGAAACTATGCTCTGGAAGCCCAAGGGTTTGAGCGTAAGCCCCATGGAAACGCATCAGAGGCTAAAGGTCAGCCACAAGGCATAGAGCCATCAGTTACAAGGAAGATGGTTCCTTGTATTGCCGAAGGCTTTCATGGCCGGAATCACTGGGTTGTTGTAGGTTTTTTTGGGGCTATATGGCCATGGTCTAGAGGCATTTTCACCCTTGGAGACAAAGACTGGAGCATACTGAGAGTTGCTTAAAACCTATTCTGTGGGTTGGCTTGATGACAAATCTCTTTTCCTTCCTTCCTTCCTTCCTTCCCTAAAGACTCCAGCAGCCGAAGCAAGCACAAT